TTAATTATTAGAAGAATATAAATTTAAAAAAATAATTTACTCAATCATAAGTTCTCCACAATATAAACATTCAGAGGCTACCAATTCATCAATGTCAGCCTTGATTTGATCTTTCATAGATAAATATGCAGATCCAGCTGATGTAGTGTCTTCAGATCTGTTAGAAAGAGCGGTCAGTTGACGTTGTAGATCAACTAGCTTTGTTCTCTGATCCATTGACAACATAGGTGTTAATGCAGCTACAAGGCAATCACTATGAAATCCGTGTCCACATGGAAATACGTAAAAAGGTCGTAATAATAATTGGATATTACAGCTATTGCATTTATCTGTTACATGTACCAATGTACACCTAAAAAAGAAAATCACTTATATTATATCATTATTTACCTATTTTATATCATTATTTACCTATTTGTCTATTTACCTCGTTCTAAATTCTTGTATATCCTTCCTGAGATCTTCAGCTGCTTTTGTTGCTTCTTGCATATCTTCCTTCAAATCTTGAATATGTTGATTATATTCCTATGAATTACAATGGAAATAAATAGTATCTGTTTATATATTTAATAACTAAATGCTATATGTGACATTATATTACCTGTAATGATTTGCAAATAGCATCTTTAAAGTGATCAATAGTAACAAAATCTGAAAAGAATGGTAGTATATCTTGTATTTTGACTATATCGCAATGTTGCAAGAATTCCATTGCTTGTTTAATATCATCTTTCTCTCGAACCACGTATTCAGCTAAAATTAATATTAATAAGAATTGGTATAAACTATGAAGTTTCGCTTTCGCATCCGTAATTACCAATTTTTAGCCATAACTTTTTTCTTAATTCATTATCAGAAGGCATAGCAGCTATTTTTTTAGCAAGATTAACACCAATTGTTAAAGCTAAATCAACCGCTGTTGTCCAGAGCCCAAGTAAAGCAGACAATTGTACACAAGCTTCTGTTAAACCAACTTCTTGACACAATTGTAATGCATAATGCACATCATAATATACCATATTTATATCTTGTCCTGAAAAAATGTAGATATTTTTATTAAAAATATTTTTTCGTTATATTTTTAATGAAAAAGTATAACTTAAAAATCACCTTGAGAAGTAATATAACGCATTACTTCATCTTGTTTATAACGAGCATATAGTAATAATAGAAAGTTGTGTATTGCTTGTTCTTGACAACTTTGTTCATATATACAAAATTCTAAATATCTGATTACTTCTTTGGCCTGGAACACCAAAAACTGACTAAATAGAAACTCTAAAATTTGGAAGAAATAAAAAAATACAAATTGTAAGTATCTCACGTGTTTTTCATCACTAGTGCAAGCTACTAAGGTTGCAAGTAGCTTAGATGGTTTTAACAAAGAACCTTGTGACATTAAAGCAGTCACTGCAGGACGTGGTAACTCTCTCAGAAGAATACCAGAAAACTGATAAAAAAGTTCTCTATTGTTTTGACTTTTTAAAACTTCAAGAGCTTCTAAATAATTATTTTTATATAAATGTTGACGTATCACTTCTTCGTAGTTACAGTGCATTATAGTCAAACGAACCAGATTATCTTTGTCACCATGACTTGCCATTAAATCGTATATGGTGCTACGATTCCTTTTTATGCATTCCTAAAATTAAAGTAATCTTTTGTAAATTGAACGAAATTTTTAACTATTTTCTGTAAAACAGCGTTACATCTTTGTAATTAATACCTCTACTTTTGGTATTGCAAGAAAACTATCAAACTGTTTCTGCAGTTCCAAATACTGTGAATCGTGCAAGTACGATGTATTATTATTCCGTAATTCACCCATTTGATTCAGAAATAACTCGGTCATCCATACAACAATCATAGTTATTTGTGTTTTATCTTGGGGTTTCAATCCTTCGAGTTTCTAAGCACAGAGAGCTAAATTACTTCAAATGTTTAAATTTAAATAATGAAAATCGACAAATATAATACCTTTTTAAGGAATGTTTTTAATGCCTCTATTTGCCATTCCTGAAGGAATTTTGAAGAAATTCCTTCAAATGATGAATGTGTATCTGCATATATAAGAGCACTTTTTTCATATCTATAAAATAACGTTAAAATAATTTTGTAACAATCTATTAAATAGTAAATTTAAAATATTTTAATCTTCAACTTACTCCTTATTTTTAAAAAGCATGTCTGCTTGCTTTACAAGAACTTCATCTGTATGTGCTGGATTATCTTTACAATATTGTTTTGCAAGTTCAAATTCGCCTTTATCAACATAAACCTATTTAAATATAATTTATGTATTTGTTAATTTGTATAAAAAGTTTCACTCAATGAATTAATTTTACCTGCCAGACATTTCTATCTTCTTTATTAACTTTATATTTAAATATTGCTCTTTCACTATAAGCCCATATAGAATGTGTTATACAGTCTTTGGTAATATTAACGAATTTTCCAACAGCCTATAAAAATTAGGTCCTTTTTAACAATCTCACCGAATCGTAAGAATTACATTGACATTATAATTTCATTCCATTATACATACATCATTGTAAATGTCTTCAAATATCAATTTCTCATTTAAAAGTGACATGCCTTTAACACGATCTGTATAAACTAATAATGCATGAAATTCTGTCAAAACAAAAGATAATGGAGCAGGAGATAATGGTGTTTCTGAATCATTGTTTTTCATTGGACTTGCTTCAGAACAAATTAACCTTTGCTGATTTATTAATACATTTTTTGGATCCACTTGTGGATCAATCTAGGTAAATTCCAAATGATTAAAAAATGAATATTATGTATAAGAAGTATCACTGAATGATACATTTAAATCAAGTAATAGTAAAATAATTATCACCTGAGCATATAATATACAAGTTTCGGTTAACCAACCAAAAGATTTTGGTAAAGCACCAAGTGCAGAATAATAGAGTTGCATTTTAGAATAAGGTAATGAACTTAGTACTTCAATAAAGCTTTCTGTAAAAACACTGCTTTAACAAGTAGCATAAATGTAACTTAATGAAATATGGATAACAAAATGTTACCTGGTGTATTTAAATATTTATTGAAAACTTGTTGCAATAAAGGTTTTTCTTCTGGATTTTGTACTGGTCCAATATATTGGTAAATTCGCATAAGAGTGGTAACAATAATCATATATTTGTCAGTATTTGGTATTTTATGAAACACTAAACCAGTAATTGGTGGTTTACTATCTTCTCCTATATCAAACACCTAAAATAAACAACAATCAAACATTGCTTATATAATAACATTATACAATATTACATTATATGATGATAAGTTGTGGCTATGATATGAAATCAGCATAATATTAATAAGCACACATTAAAGTGACTAAAAAGTCATAATTTTTCATTGTGGCCAGAAATATCTATATTTCCAGAAAATGAGTATTTTACACATGCAAAAAGTATAACTTCTAACTCACCAATCCTTCTACCTCTTTAGCACCATAAAGAGGTAAATAGTTAGGAAGCTTTGGACATAATGAACAATGATATAAGGGAAATATTGTTATTATTAAGGAATGATAATGTTTACTGATAATGATATTAAAAATTAACTTTCATTTTTTTTTTATACCTGACGCCAATATTGTTCCAAGCTTAAATTAAATATTTTATCAGCATCTATATCAATTTCTGTTTCAAGAATGAGACCTTTTGAAGTTCCTAAGAGAATTGGACCTGTAGCGGTTTCTGAAGTATTTGAAAAATTCCAACCAACAGCAGTAATTTCATGTCCATTGAATTTACTTGCCTAAATGAACAAATCATGAAGACTATATATATATAATTATATAAATTGATACAAACTCTCATCATATGTAATATATAATATTTATTATACCTGTTCATCTCATTTACCTGTTTCAATTTTGTTGTTTTTCTGTGTAAGTAATATAATTCAGGAGGTGAATTATTTTCAGACTTTGCAACAAAAGCTATTAACAAATGATTACCCAAAGGATCAAGAAACATTCCTGATATTTTCATATTTGTTGTATATTTTGATATATCAATCACTGAAATAAATGTCTTGTATCAGTTTATGCTTTATATTATTAATGTTAATTAAAGACATTACCATCTAGTGAATTTGGATCTTTCATGTCACTACGTAAGAGAGTATTGTTACTCATGGCAATGACATTGATATTGTTATTAACAACAAAATGTAAAATTTGATCAGTTGGTACAAAATTAAGTTTTTGCCTTGTAAAAATTGGTCCATCATTTTGGAATTTCATTTGAATAAATCCTGCTGTACTCTAAAAATTTAATAAGACATTTACTTTTCAATATTTTGTTTCATTTATAAACAACACAAGTAGAAAAGTTAATAATTTATGCTGCAAATAAAGAAACTTACCCTATCAAGATACATTTCTGCATCATATGCTTCTTCATATTTATCAAGCATTGATGTCATTTTTTAAATTTATTTACAAGTATTCACTATACCATAATAAAAAGATAAAGACATTGTAGTTATGTCTTATAATTCCAAAGCAAAATGCTCTACTGTATTATACTTACATATTAAATAAACTGTCAAGTACAATTGTTTTAATAACATTTATTATTCAATTTCCATATTGGATGGAAAACACTAATGCATTTTTATAAATAATAATCAACACAAAAGTCTCGTTAACCTGTAACTTACAAGTTAACCTTAATTTTTACACAGATTATTATAAACATAATTGTAGATCACTCATGGATTACATATATATCATTAAAAATTCAAATCACTTTACTTATATTTACAAATATCAAATAAAATTACAACGTGTTTTAACATGGATTAGAATTTGACAGTAATATAACCGATTAAGTTCGGTTGCATTGGTAGGAGTGATAAAGTCCACACTACAGTCATAGAGATATAGAAGTTAGATGAAAATATATTTAAAAAACAAACTTATAGTTTAGTATTATATATTACTACTTATTAGACTCAATTATTGTTACATAGCTTTATACAATAATATTTAATAACAAAAAATTCATATAATTGTTTCATTTCAATGTCTATCTTTTAGTGTACTACATCCAGCAAGTATAAATTTTATCTACCTACTTCATCTGAATTATCTACTTCAAAAACGTGGTATAAAAATCAGTGTTTGCATGAAAAAACGTTTGGGTAGCATCAAACAATAAATAAGAAGTAAATATTATTTAAATGTCTAATACTAATAAGATGGAAAATGAAAGTGATCCAGTGGTTAAAGAGGTTTGTAAACGTATTTTCACTTTCTGTTTGATATTTTAATTTTAGGTTACTTTTAGTTATAATGTACATTTTGTCACGTGTAATATAATTATGCATAATTAAAGTGATTATCTACTTATTCTTGTTTATTATATTATAATAAGTCATGCTACGCACTCCATAGATACCATATTATGTAAACTGATAGAAATGTAAAATTCTTATTTTAAATAAATTTTATAAAATACAAAGTATGTAATTATAATTATATATCTTGTTTTTTATTAAACAATCATGTGAATGAAAAAAGGAAAATGTATAAAAATCATACATGTAGTTAGAGATAGAGGGAAATGAAAAATTTTAATTTTTTTTTAGATTCCAGTGTATCTATCACAAACACTTGCAGATAAGTTATTTATTTTTCAATATCCTGTCCGTCCTGCTTGGAAAGGTTATGATAATACAACCTTCTTAAAAACCTCAATAAAACCAGAAAATCAGGAAGTTCTCATAGAAGTAGCAATAGATACACATAGTGTCAATTATGATCAAAGCAAAGGTGAACAAATTGCATTAAATGCAGATGGAGATTCAAGGACTGATCAAGCAGATGATGAAAAGGCATTTGACAGGTATTTCAAAAATCACACCAATAAATTATTTATATACCTTTTATTATATGTTACAAATTTCATGCTATAGCAATCTTATGGATAAAACATTGTTGCATTCATCTCGAGCATTACCAAACTGTTCCAATTATGCAGTTGGTATTTTTCAAGATGGAGAGTTGCATCTAACACCACTGAGAGGAATTATTCAAATGCGTCCACAGTTTAATTATCTTGATAAAAGTGATAAACGTGTAAGAGAAGAAGCCAAAAATATGGGTGAAGGTAGTATCTGGATAAAGTTACATTAATTTAAGTTGCTTATATCTTTTTATAATATTACTTTTTAATATACAGAATTAGATGAGGAAGAAGAAGGTCCAAAACAAGTTAATGTAACCTTTGCTAGGCAAAAGCCTGAATTTATGAAAAAGATGCAAGAACAATCCTTTCAGCATTATACTAAGAAAAGTTTGGAAGAAAGATGGATTCACACAAATTATATTCCAGCAAATACACCTCAATCAGAGGTTAATATTGCTTGATCCATTTGATCATATTGTTAAAAAATAAATTTTATTAAATACTTATTGTAAAAACATGTATTTTCAGCTCACATGTTTAGAAATGTTTTGTTCTGCTACTGATGAGACTGTAAATACACTGAATTTAAGCAGTCAGCAATATTTAGAATTGTTAGCACCATCAGTGAAGGAAGAACAAGGTTTTAAATCAGATGTTTCCAATCATGCTACATGTCTTAATTATATTAGGACTTTACCTCTTCTTGATCAAGTGAGAATGCTCATGAAAGATGGTTAGTGATTTCAAAATCTCTATGTATATTAATCTTAGATTATTACATATTAATGATAAAAATTTCATTTACAGCCAAAGTTATATCCTTTCCACAATTAAGGTCTATTTTATCACCAGATCAAGAAACAACAGCTATTTTAAAATATTTACAACAAGCAGCAGTTTTAGTACAAGGAAACTGGGTTGTAAATAGTGAACTCCTGTACCCAAAAGATACTATATCATCACATAATGGCATTCCAGCAGAACTTATGTGTAGGGCTAGGGATTATGTAGTAAGTGTTATGTTTACTATATAATTTGCTAAAACAAAAATTACTATTGTACTAAAGTTATGCAATTTCAGTTATTATCATTTACGGAAAACGAATTCCTCGACCGGAAGACAATGTCATCTGTTATTAAATTACCTCCTGATGAAATTAAAGAAATATTTATAAATTTAGCAGTACATGAACCTAAAAAAGGATGGCATTTAATTATTCCACCTACTAAAGAATTTAGTGAAAGGTATTATGTTTATTATAAAAGCAATGAATATAACGATCTGATACTCATTTGGTAAATGCAATTTGTTCGATAGATATCCTGAAATAGTACAAAGACAAGAAATGTTTTGGGAAGCAAAACGAAAACATCTTCGTGAAGCTATGGAAGTTCAAAGTCCAATTCCACAACGTCAAAGGCGGAAGTCAAACAGAGAATCTGTTGGGTCCGAAAATGAAGAAAGAAACGCGGGACGTGGCAGGAAAACGTTGAGAGATTCTTCAATGTCCGACAACGACAGTGCGACAGAGCCAGTGAAACATAAAAAAACTATTCGATCTCGCAAAGTATCGGAGACCACGTGACCAAAGTTGATGCGCGATTGAAATCTACGATACCTCTGTATATTGTTAATGTATTTGAAATTACAACAAATTTACTTAGGTCATATTATTACAACGTGTCTGTTTAGATACACTACCAAAATTTTTCGCTATACTTGCATCCTAAAATTATTTAAGTAAAATATTTTCTAGTCTCAAGTGACAGGTCTAGCAAACGACAATACAGATTCCGAAAACTAAATACTTATGTACATAAGGAAATGCTTCATTCTGTTACCTTAGTTATTTATTTTAAAATTATACGTTTAGTTTTTATATGTCGTGCATCATGCAAAATTCAATCATGGAAGATTAATTTAAATTTAAACAATATTGTTTATCGAAGGATGTATAGAAACATAAGTGTTTGTTTAATTACGTGGTGATCGCAGAGTTTGTTGGCAAATGTCATGCTGTCAACAATGAATGAATAGTATGTATTATAACAAAGTTGTATAAAGCATTCATTTATTGTTTCCAGTAGTTACTTCTTGCACATCGTTGATCGATGATGCGTCGAAAGCATTGACTGAGAAATGACTGATGTTTTTTTATTTTGTTAAAAATATTTTTAAGAACAAAAAGAGTATGATGTAAAATCGTAAATCGACGTTAAGTAGACATATATGTATAAACTAACAAAATATCAGATAAAGTATGTATCCTATTTATTACTACGACATTCAATATGTACATATTTATAGTTGAAAATGTATTTCCATAAATTTCTTACACCCTTTATCTATTCCATTTTAAAAATATCGCGTAAAACATCAAAGAGTATCTTTTATTTACACGGATAAACAGTAGAAACGTGTTAGTCAATAATATTGTATTATAATATTTTCAAGTTACGTAGAAAGTGGTACCTGCGCAAAAGCAGGAAGCGTTAATAAAAAAAACCAATACCGCTATGCAAACATCTATTCCACTCTAACTAATGTACTCATACGCATACGTGTATATTTCGATATAGCAGTTGCCCGAACTACTTGTTCACCGTTAGTAACAAATAATACGAAACTGATCATCTCTTTCTTATTTACATGCAAAATCTATTTACCGTAAAAAGAGAATGTCTCGTTCCTTTCGAAGAAAATTGCGTTAAAAAGAAAAAAACACTTTCGTACCTTTATAAATTCAGCGTTACAGAAAATAACTGCAACATTAGAATTCATCGTAATATATTAACGAGAAAGTAATAGCACGCCTGTCCTTGGGATTCTTACAAAAATCATACTACATACTTCAAACACATAATTTCAATCGATTTGCGTAGCAATTCGAAATGAAGGCGTACAGATGTATACACACTATACTTGCGTATTCGTGTAAAAAGACCAAAGAAAGAGTTGTCCTGTCAAAACGTAACTTTCTTCGCTCGATTGCGAAATCGTCGGTAAAAGAAAGAAAGAAAAGAAAAAGAACGTAGAAACGCTGACGTATCTCTCGTTGACGAAAATAAACCTCGATGTTAACAAGGCAGCGTGTTATTCGCTGCAGTTCTCTACATTTGCATACCGTATAGCGTTAACATGAGTTGATCTCGTGAATGGAAAGAATGCGCGCGTAAAGGTGACGGTCATTCACCTGAACTGGTGTAACAAACGTACTAGCTACGTAAGATTGTCAAAAAGGTGGGATCAAGATGATCAATCGAGGGTGAAAATGAACATCCTCAAGCGATTAGAATGAAGTTCACCTTCCGCCTTTTAATTAACAGTTTCGTCTGGTTTTTCTCATTCTCCTCTTTAATGGTCCATTTGCGTAGTACAGGGGCGGAACAGAGGGCGAACACACTTTCTCCTGTAGGTCTGACAGCCTCGGTGAAAGTATTCCTTACGCCTTCATACGTCCATAGCACCCGAATATCTGTTACTCTATCGATACCACGCCTCCACAGAAATGATAAGACTGATCCACACACCGATTGATTAGCGGAACTTATAATCTAACGATCTATTTGTACATCGAAATTACCAAACTGATCGATAGAAAAATCACAATTATAAGACTTAATTATGTACATATATTTGCTGTAATAATGAAGCGCTTAAGATGATGTACCGCAATGTTCACTTTCAATTTTTTTTCTTCTTTCCATCGTGAAAACGATATATTGTTCAAATTACAAGCGATGTGAAAGTTTGGAGATCCGAGATAAGGTGTCTGATGTTTTGTAATGAAAAACGGATAATTGATGGGGAAGAATGAGAGGTCGATGAATTATTTAACCGCGGCTAACGCGTGCATTAAACCAGACACATTCGTCATCTTTGTGAACCGCGGAACGGAATTTTATACTTTATACGCGCCGATCTAAACTCAGTTGCAGTTAGCGTAGAAACCGGTTCGAAAAGAAAAGAAACGAAAGAAAACGTCTCAATTCTCTTCGACGAGGTCAATTTTCTAAGTAACGAACGTGGCTTTTGAAATACCCGATGCTGTTCGATACCATTGTCCAACGAAGGTTCGATCCTTTGAACGAAGTTATCGAACGCGTGGGTGAAACTAGTTTCGCCTGAGGTACAGCTAACGAAAAAATTCGCGACGTTAATTGCTCGATCGAGTACATTCTTGTGTCGCTTGAACTAGATTTCACGGCGAAGAAAAAGACAGCGAGTGTTTGTCAATACGTGTTTCAACTGTAAATTTATGTAACTGAATAAATATCTTGTGAAATAATTATGGAATGTTTGTACGTGAAGAGAGACAAAAGCATTTTGGCACGATTCGCTGGACAAAGAAACGTTCCGAATGGAAGAACGAAGAAAGTGTAATTACACTACGAATCCTTGGATCTTGTCGATCGGATCGATCGAAAGGAGTCACTCGACGATTTCCGTTAAGTGAAAACAATGACCTTCGATAGGCGTCTCTTCTAGAAAGAAAGTCCATGCGATCTGTTTCCATACGATTTCAATAAATTACACGCTAAACAGTGCGTTGAATCCAACGGGGGAAAAAGAAGAGACGATTCACGCTCCCGAACAGTTAAGAAATCGAAGAAAAAGAGATCGAAAGTTTCACAACCAGCCGTGAATTTTCGATTTTCTTCTCCGTTTCATCTTTCAAATCCGTTTCATATTCGTCGATTACTTAAGATTGTTCGATTTATACGTAAAATCGATAAGATTCATACCGTTGAATTATCACTGTGAGACGAATAATTGAATATCTGAATGCAACTGTAATTATTAATAAGACTGATTAAGAAATATGTAAACGTACAGACGCAAGTACGCGATTACGAGATTTTTTTTGTGAATGCAAGCGAAGATATGGATTCTCCGTGAAAGGCAATTAAATTAAGCGAGGATAAACTAACCCACTTTAGACATCTCAATGGCACAGCGTGCAACTCGTGATTTAGGTGAAAAGCAATTAAAGTCCGCGTTTGTATGCTGTGTGTACGGGAGAGATTTAAAGATGCGCTGAAATAGGCCGAACGATACGGGGAAAGAAGCAACGTTGATTCATTCAGTGCGCGAATTTTTCCAAATTTTTCAAACTGTAAACGAGAATTTCTACGAACACTTGAAACAAATTGTAAAGGTGAAACGGATCGAGAAATTTTTTCGCTGCACCGCAGAAGACGAAAATAAAGTTTCGTCGTTTCGCATTAGAATTGAAATCACGCACGCCTCATGCAAATAGAGACGTAAAAATTTGACATCGAAACACGGTACGACGACCTACTCTCGAAAGGGAAAAATTTTCGTTCGGTGCGGCGCGGTAGAAAGCCAAGGATCGCTCACTCGATTTCGTTTGGATCTCCGTCGCTATCGAAAGTATAATGTACTTTTGCGGAAACGATCGGGTGTGAAGTCTCGTGTGTACAGAAGTAAAAAGTATCGAAAGGCTTTAGATATCGGTGACGTAAGGATTGCATTCAACCGTGCAATACGTTCGATGCCTTTTTCTCTCCCCCCTGACGCTTCGTTAATATCTCATTAACCATGAACAGAGACATTCTTCCGCGGGAATATTGTCGTTAATTGTATGTCATTAGCTCCGGCTATTTTTCCATCTCGATTCATCGAAATTTCGCTCGCCCAACGGTGGATAAAATCCGTGGAATTCGCCAGCAGAATTTCTGATTTCGCACCGCGTTTTATTCCACTTTCCTGAATCGCAACCGGGTATATCCGTGCTCTACCCGCAATCGATTACATTTCACAGCGCGGCACATGCTCTGTTACATATGCATATCTCGCGTTTAACACGATTTGCGCCCTTCCTCTTAATTACTTTCCATTTGATCCTTTTCTAGCTGCGTAGGAAAAAATCCCGTGTTACAACGATGATGAATAACTTGAAATTTCACTTCGTATCTAATCTGTTTAATTAAAGTTTCTATAAATTCCATCGAATTTCGTCGAATTTACGAAACATCGTGTGTACCACCGCGAAAGAAACTTTTTCGCGCTTCGTAGATAAAATCGTTTTTTTTTTCTTTCAAACATTTCTGAAGCACATTCGCTGGATCAAATATAGCTTTCGAATGAATTGAAGAAGTAACTGTAACCCCTTCGAGTCGTGCAGTTCTGTCTTCTTCGTCGTGAAAAGACAAACTTCCTTCAGCGATCGTAATCCCGTTCTTCTCGATTCTATTAACATAACATTCTTCGGTGTTCTTATCAGAATCTGGTCTCCAAATAAATCGCTTCAATTGCCTCGTTAAGATCGTTTCGTGTTCGATGTAACAGTGAGACGGTAAACAGCAATTATGCTTTTTTAAACGTTACGTCAAAACCACGTTGCCTAGCGAACCCGATCACTGTACGATGTTCCTTTTCCGTTTATTCAAGATCACGCAGTTCGAAGATTTCGGGGAACAGCCTGTTTTACAATATGCATCGGCCAGTGTCTCTCTCTCCCACTACCCTAAAAGCGACACCAGATATTACCTTGGTGGAGGTAACTTTCAGCGAGACACGCTATATAAGAGAATGAAGAACCGGCCGGCCGAGATAAAGCTCGTGTGTTGTCAATCCCGCCCATCGTGCCTGTTATACTCCTCTACCTCCGTCGTTGACAGGTAAGCGGGGTAAATAGTACGTCTCTAAAAGAAAAAAATAAAAGGAAGGAGAAAAGAAAATTGTGGGATCAGTGACGCGAAATTGGACAGTGCAAAGTGTTTTTTCCACTCAGTTTCCTGACTTCTTCTCCTCTGTGTACCATTGGTGTTCTTTCTGTTCGAACGGTGTGAACAATCGTTCGGTATCGATTGAGAAAAGAAATTAAGAGAAAAAGGGTGAGATTGATGGAGATATTCGATTGAATAATAAGAGGACGTAACAGATCGGAATACCAATGTACATAACACAGTAGATAGGTTTTAAGGGGAAAATGGTATGAAAAATTTGCGAAATTATCGTCGTTATGCATGGTGGAGCGGAGATTATGGCACGTGCCTTAGAAACGAGAAAGCAAACCGGTTGTGCGAGGGCGATCAGGAACTGTAGCTTTGGAATTTATGAAAGATTTTAGCAGTAGGTGCTAGTTTTTAATTGATGTTACGCCGCGTTTCAACTATTTTCGTTAATTATTCGCATGCCCGTAGACTTATTCCTAAAACAATCTGCTCTACTTTTAACCACACTCGTTCATCTGTTATTTGCATTTATTTTTATTATTTATTTTATTCGATAAACAATATTTCTAACATTTTCAGTTATTTTTATTTATACCTATAGATTGATACAATTAGATTTTACAACTTTATCGTGCACTTTTGAAAGTTCTTGCAGCATGTTTCGTATACCTAAAATTCCGGAGCAAGGTGATCGACGGTAAAAGGTCGACACTCTTAGGACCGCCAGCCTTTGATCTACCGGAGACAGAAAAAAGAAAGAAAAAAATTGTTGTCAGGAGTATAAAGCATGCTCCAGATTTCCGTAAGAGCATGTCCAAGTCTGACAACTGGCCGACCAGTTACGTGTGCCCTCCACTGATTATATTATGCCGCCGCGTTCCTCTCGTTTGTAGTTACCCGACAACTATCTCTTTTTTCATTATGCAATTGCTTTCTTTCATAAGGGATCAGCTTCCAATTTCAGAGGCATTCGCGACTTCTTTGGAATGATAAGAAAAAAAGAAACACCTGTTACAAAACACCGTTGAAATTAAATTCGACATCCATCATTCGCGTTTCTTCTTTGTTAATTCATTAGTAGACAATTACGCTATCCCGCAACATCGGTTACTTTTGTAATATTGCTTTTTTTGTTTTCACTTTCAACAACTCGTTAATTTTTCAATTATTTTCATTCATTTCTTCAATTGAATTAACTTGGTGAAATTTCTCGGAGATACATCGTTCCAATGTTATTTTTTTAATTGCACAAATGACGGTAGCTTCGAGAAAGTCTACCCGTTTGTTTGTAACGAAGTGTGTAATTACGACAAATAACGATACATTTCACTGGGAAAAACCGGAATGAAATTCGCGCAATTACGCATAATTTCGCGAAATTGCCTGGAGTATTAAGAGTAATACACGCTGACCGTGTCCGATCATGTACACGCGGAGAAAGTTTCTACGATTTTCCTCGATGAGAGATACCAGTGAAACTGAAATAGAAAGAGAGCACGAAAAAGCAGCGGTGGTCGGTCGTACCGAGGGTCCACTTAGGCGGTTTCGTATCAGACCCCTCTGTCATCGGTGTCCTTTCTAGGTAGGAACCTTGGACGATATTGTTTCGCGATCTGCATGCTCTCTTACACCATAACATAATTCGCAACACCCGAGACAGATACGTTCCGATTTTTCTCAACTGGTACCATTTTTATACGCAGACCCTCTCACTTTCACTCGAGCTACCGATCAACGCCAAGTTTGTGGCCTACCTCTTAACGATCGGCCGGTTTCCAGCTCTTACGGCTAAGTAAAGACAAGATTCTCATTAAGAGCGACAACTACATTCTTCCGTAACTCAACGTGACCAATTATTCGCCACTTTGTTTCTTTAAATGGACCGGTTAATCAAGGGAAAACCCTCGTGAAGCGGTTGTTACGCGATGACCCGAGATCTCGTCCGCGGTGCAAGTTGCGTAAAAGTTGTATTAAAGCGAGGGGACAAACGGGTTACACATTCGACCTTTGTAACGTGTTTCAGAAAATCTTTCTCCAGTTTTCATCGGTTCTTTCTTTTCATTTTTTCGTCGTCGTAAAAGGGAAACGCGTACTGGTGACCTGGTTGCTTTCCCGAACGGCTGATTTCGTTGATAAGGGTCGAAATAAGGAAAAGCGACTTGCCGGGAGAAAGCGAAGAACGAAGGAAACGTGTCTTTTCTTCGTGACATCGAAACTGGAAGCTGTGTCTTTGAAACGAACTCGAGATAGGGAGAATTGAATTTTTAATTTACATCGATCGCTGTCCACTTTGAACGACGCGTTAAAAAAAGCGGACCCGTTTTACCTCGTCGCCCCATTTCCCCCTTGTCTTTCACATTTGTCACGTTTCAAGAGAAGTTTCTCTCGACAAACCGAGAGATCTGTACCGTAGACATGTCAGGAGGTTCACTTTCGTAAGACGAGCCTTTCAAATTTATCGAAAGCACCGGATCTCTCGCGATACATCATCATCACCGTTACGAGTGAGATGTTTCCAACGAATCGTGAAACCGCTGTCCGTGTTTTACGCACTTAGAAAGTAAGGTGCTTTCCACGGCCATTATCGATACAAGTGCAAACGCACCTACCTGTTTCAAGACAAACAATAGAACTGTCACCGAAAATTCAACAAGTCTCACAGACTGGAACGTATATTTTCTTCGAAAATTCGACCAATTCTACTTTCTTCGGTAAAATTCTTTCACCACGTTTCACCGTAATTTCTCTCACCCACGTTCAAGAGCAAAAATTACCAATTAACATTCCTATCGTCTACAATTTCCAACGCTCGTTCATCCGCTGAAACACAGTAATCACCCGTCAGCTCGGTGAATATTGAACGATCGCCTCGATCAAATCGTACAAATATCGAGGATCACCATGAAAATACCACGTTTACCAGATACTAAACGAGATCGATCAATCTTAATAGCCACGTCGTTTTACGTAAATCCGAATGAAATATATCCGAGACGCTTTTCACTTCGATTCAACCACCAATGACCAAGGTCACTTTCCCTCGTGCCTTAAACGTAATAAATTTTCTCCGTGTGCCACATAACGCAAAAATCCATCAAGCACGTCCACGGTGGACGGTGAAAAATTACCGCGGCGGATATTACAGGAAAAAGAGAAAGAAAAGAAACAACTCTCGTTCTCCGTTTGCAGAATGTATTGGCTGTGTGTGGCGGCGGCCTTAGCTGCGACCGTAACGGCGCAGGGTCCTTACGATCTTGAACAAAGAGTGCCATTTCCGGGCAAATCGTCCAGCCTAGGACCGCTATACTCGGCTGGCCTCAGCGCTGGTCAAGGTTTTCGCGATAACAGCTACGAGGATAACATTGTCACGCCTACGCCAACGCCTGTCTACAGGAATCAAAACGGTCAACCGGCTGTAAGTAGTGGAATTGTTACTTATTCACACGGTAACTCATCTGTTTTTCTTCCATTCGTAACGACTCTTACCTTTTTTGTCTAATTGCCGGCCTCGGGCGATGTTCGGTTAAATTATTAGCTGCAACGAAAGCAGTTACGAAAGCACAGGTATATTGCGTGTGTCGTTGGATATTATGTAAAGGTGTTACGTAAAAATTAGTTACTTTCGGTCGATTTGAACGTATCGATGAATTTATATCGCCATGCGTGACCACGCGTGAAGACCTCGGCACGCTTCCATGAATCATTCGAAATTTATAGCGTGTGCATTTCTTCTTCTTCTTTACAGTTGTACCGTAAACCATCGGCACCGTCGCTAGATCAAACGGCTATCAGAGTGAATGGACCACCACGTTCCGTTCTTCGAGGACCACCGCCAAATGCTAGGGTAATTGTTGTTTCGTGATCGTTCGATCGTTGCATTCTCACGTTATCTCCTCGTACAGTCGATTTAACACGATTAGGAAACAACCAAGTTTCCACGCAATTATGTAAGGTTCGACGGGAACGTTTGTACCTGTGAAATATGGATCGAACGTGAAAGAAGGGAGAGAAAGAAGGAATTAAGAAATTTTCGGGTGTCGCGATCGATACAGGTGAAATTTTGTTACGCTTTGTCTCTCCGCCGGTAAGGTGAAAGTATTGTAAGAAATTGTTGCATCCATTGTTTGAAGTTCCACACAATAAACTTGCGTAACGGCGGACCGTTGCAACGAGAAGAAATAGTTTTCACGGAGAACGAAACCGTTTTAGTTTTTTCCACTGGTGATTTCCAATAATTACGTATTCCGTTCGGTATCTCGGCGATCTGCCTTGTCGAAATTAAGTAATCGTTTGCGGTAGATCGTCGAGGCTGATTTTACCGAGTTGATCTTATTGTTTTTCCGAGGAGTAGAATTGAGAAATAAATGCGCGTTACATAAACGACTTCGCTTCATAAGTCGCTTTCTTTCTACGTTTAAATAGAATGCCACTGACGGTGTTGTGTGATTAAAGGATCCTGAAGAAATCGAAGAGAAAGAAGAGCCTGATCGTTTGACAATCCTCTTGCCTCAAAGCAAATTCGATTGTGTGAACAAACAAACCGGCTATTACGCAGATGAGGATCTTAATTGCGAGGTCTTTCACTATTGTCAAGACAATGCTAAACACTCGTGGGTTTGTCCCGAAGGATTCACGTTCCATCAGGTAATTTTTAACGATCGATTAAACGAAAATTCACTGAAATACGAATCTTTTCTCGTAACCGACACTCCAAGTGTTAAACACGAACCACTTTTCAATACTCGTTCTATTACCTGACCACACGAATCGTGACCTTTCTACGCGTAATTAAAGTTGCTCGGTGAAAACGTTCCACGGGTATAAAATACCTCCGATCGTGTTAGAAATTCAGTTTTAAATACCGCTGATAAGTAAATTTCACCTTACACACACGTGGCCACGTTTTCACCCTACCCACTTCCGGTGTTCCACGCCAAGGAAACAGTTAAGCAAAGTCAATCATAAATCGCACGATCTGTTGCCCCGATAACCGGGTACGTCGTTACGCGTTTCCGGGGTAATCGACTCTACGTTCCTTTTCTCGGTGGCAAAGATGCAAATAAGGAGGTAAGTATCGCACGAAAACTCCTTTCTCTCGTGAAACATTCGAGGCTAGTCGCGACGGTGGCCTGGTAATCACATGTCTCTGTTACAGGTTCACCTGATCTGTATGCCGCCAAGCGGTGACATAAATTGCAAGAAGAGCTCGCAGTATCATTTCGTCAACGAGTATCTCTACAAACCGTTGAACTTGGCGGAAGCTGAGACGAAACCTAACGTGACCCTGAGATACAGCGAAAGATATTTCCCCGCAGACATTCACCCGGATGAACGTGAGGTTGGTGACTATCAAATTACTCCTTCTGCGCCTATTCGCCGTCCAACATCACCTGTAAGGCTTTATTAAAACGTTGCTGTCTTTTCGACGTGTCAACGTGGAGATGAAATAAAATGGTGAATTCGTATGTGTAGGCGTACGGAAGTCCTCAACCACCAACGTTGAATAGCATTCCACCATCGGCGCGCCCACAGTCAGCAGGTCTTCCACAGTTTCGTTTACCGGTGAACCAAGTTTTCCGCAGTCCCGAGGAGGTGAATATTCCTCTTCAGCATAGACGTCCGCAACCTCAACACCAGCCTGTGAGAAGATTCCCCCAAGTACGACCTGATGACGAAGAGTACGAATAAATTCTATCGGCCGTCGTTTTTATAATAATCATTCATCGTCACACTCATCGTCGCATTTTTGTCGTTAATTAAATCACAACGGTGTCATCATACATCTTGCGTTGAAATCATGAGGAAAAGAAACACTTCTGGGATAATTGCGATATTTATTCGATAATAAAGTATAGTTGTAACTCGATAAATTAATTTTAGAATGTAAATCATTTCGTGCTTTCGTTGTTTCTTTCTTTCTTTTTCTATTCCGTAGAAATTCGTCGGTATTTTAAGTTGAAATTTTTGTAATTAACGTATCGAATTGATGTCAAGTTATATTTATGCATATTGTGAGTATGCTAACACATGTGTAATCAACATTAGCTTAACAGTGATAACCAATAAATTGTTATTACGTTATATTTAATAGCATTTGTTACTTTAGAAACGTTGCTATAGATATATTTTAAAAGGCATTTTTGATATTTCCTAAAAGTAACAAGTTACCATTTAATTTTGTCTATTTGAAACGGCGCAAAATTTAAATAAGGCGCGCTCAAGTTTGTGTACGCGCAGAAATAGTCAGTTTACCGTTTAAACGAATTACGTGTAATGCGAAATATATAAAACATTTAATTCATGTATATGTTTGTTAAATATAATTAAGATTACGATTATTTTTATATCCTTGCAAAGAAAATAATAACAAAACTAGATGTATATATATATTTATTGTTACAAAATAGACATTGATGTTTCACTTTATATTACGTAGTAATGGAGGTTGGAGGAACATCGTACCGCGATTCATATTGCATTCTACTATATAGCATTTTTTAATTTCACAAGGTATTGTACTACAAACTGTAGGAAACAAACAGCTGTCAGAAATATAAAACAAGTTAAGATTCGTTTAATATTCATTGTTTATCGAATTGAACGAGTATAAATTTCGATTTTCTCTTGTTCGTTTCGTGTACTTTCTATCAGTTTCGCCATATTGTTTGCTACACTACCGCCTTCTGAAGTAAAAAACTTCAGGGTTAGAATCAGAGTATTATCACTTCGTTTGTGTCTCAATGTCCCTGTGAATTTGTCTTGTTTCGGTTTGAATTTACCAAGTTTCGTTATTTATTGCATCCTTTACGTAGAACGTGAGAAAATTATTCCCATAGCGTCTTTCCAAAAATTATCGGTGTATTTTCATATACTCTTGATAAAAGACACGCAATCAAGAATTTCGGAATATGGCTGCTGCTGCTGCTGCTGCTTTGCTGGATGAGCTTATGGGAAGAAATAGAAATGTTCTTCCCAACGAAAAACCCAAAGAACTTAATTGGGAAGATCCTGAGGTAAGTTTACGAGAGCGCTGATATTTCGACAACGTAGTCGTTAATGTATTTTAATTACCAAGCATTAACGTATCGTCGTAGTTTTATAACATTATCGTTATCCTTTCTAGTTTTGCAAGTTGTATTTAGTTAAATTTTGCCCCCACGATCTATTTGTTAATACGAGAGCTGATTTGGGAGCGTGTTCTCGAGTACACGATGACGAGGCTAGAGAATTATTCGAGAAAGCACCGTACTCTTATCGAAAACAACAATATGAGGATGAATTTATCAGATTTTGTCAAAGTATGTTGAACGAGGTTGAGAGAAAAATAATTAAGGGAAAACAACGGTTAGCTCTTATTGGAAGAACAGAAGCGGTAAAATTAATTTTAGAATTAATTCTATGATTCAGTCAATCCTTGTATTTTTGTATTAAAGCAATGACAAAAAGGTTTATAAGTTTTGTACATTTGTTTAGCCTACTTTGACACCAGCACAAACACAAAGAAATGAAGAACAAATTGCACTTTTAACTGAGAAAATTAATAAGCTTGTAGAAGAAGCAGAGCAAAGTGGTATACAGGGCAATGTAGAACAGGCTCAGGGCCTAATGAGATTATGCGATCAATTGAAAGAAGAGAGAGAAACATTGCGAAAATCTAATGATAATAGTCACTATAATCAGGTAAATAATACACAATATGAAATATCATAATAAAATAATAGAAAATAATGAAATGTTAATTTATTTTAGACTGCTGAATTAGCTGCTGCACAAGAAAAACAAATGGAAGTATGTGATGTATGTGGTGCGTTTCTTATTGTTGGAGATGCTCAACAACGAATTGATGATCATCTAATGGGTAAACAACATGTTGGATATGCTAGGTTAAAGAGTGCTCTCCAAGAAATTATGGTAACACTTACAGTTTTTAATAATAACATATAAAAATGTTTAAATAATTCAAGATGATAACTGGTACAAAAATAATTTTGTAGAGTAAACGTGAGAAAGCTAGAGATGAAAAAGAACAAAGAAGGGAGGAAGATAGGAAACAAAGAGCACGTGCTAATGAAGAACTTGATAGAAGAAGAAGAGATGATAGGGATAGGGACAGAGAAAGAGATAAACGTCGTAGACGTGATGATGACAAAGGCAGACATGATTCAGGCAGTCACAGGTAAATTATTTGAACATTTATATTAAATTATTCAATGTAATATATGATTATTTCATAGTATCTCTTATACTTAGAAATTCTGGACACAGAAGTAGAAGCAGATCAAGAGATAAACATGACAGACATCGAGACGACGATCACCGACGTCATGCTCGAGATAAAGGTAAATATATAGTACACTATTGTTAAATTTGAATAATCAAGAATGCGTTAAATTTTTAGGAAATCGTGATCATCGAAGCTCAAGTCATCACAGCCGACGCCGCCATCGATCTAGAAGTCGAAGTCACAAGTAACTACTCTTGATTGGTTAGTGAGTGAGAAGTAAGCCAGGTATGCACTAAACAATATACCATATTCGTCTCAATTACTGTACAGGTTCTTTACCAGGTGAGTTTCATTAGATGCACATAATATATACATGATAATTATCTGTAATTTTGAAGAATGGCATAGTCACAGCGAGCCAGTCTCTGGTCCTGCCTATTAATCGGAGAAACACTCTTACTAAATTTCATATGGACCTGTTTGTACAGCGTTTAATTTTCAAAGTGACGAGCTTGCTCTGTAACATATTACTGAAAAACGGTGCATCGAGGTAATGTCGAGCAAGGAGTAGTAAAGTTGTACCCATACGAAAGGTATTTTTATCATGTAGTACTATAGATATTGTCTACAGAGCAAGATAGGAGAAGGTATACCTATGCTTGCTTTGATCGGTATAATGTCTTCATAGGGTAAATCAATTATGTAATTTCAACGACTGCATAGCTTTTTTGTCGAAAAGAAATTAGTGGTTTAGTGGAGGAAACAGTGCCTACTTCCGTAGACCTGCCACAACAGTGCCCTGTGTGACTGTGACTATACAATCCTAGCTTCTACTACGCATTTCTGAGGTATTTATATCGGAATGATAATACCAAACATGTCCTTTTATTAGGAAAGTTAGATATTTTCAAAATGGTGATCTTTATTTTGAAACGATATTTGAGTGCTTAAAGTTATGATAACAAACTCCTGCTCTTACTTTCCTTATTCCCTAATTGCAATTTACTGGAGCATATTCAGTTTAAAACCGAGTAATGTTTTATTAGCTAGTCAGGGATATTTTCCACTGTGAACCCAAAGAGGAATAATTATAATTATTCAATTTCAGATAATAAAATCGTAATATTTAAGACAAGGGATTTATATGTATAGCCCAGAAATGTAAAATATACTTATTTAACAGCCATCTGGCTATAATCGATAAATCAATAAATAATTCGGGATTATTATATGTTGGCATATAGTCGCATCGTCGTCTTTTCGATTTTATTTGTACAAGTTCGAGAAACATGTATCATATATGATGCATATTCTTCCCTTTGCATGCATTTTTCTCCATTATTTTTAGTTCTTGAAAGACAGGACATGGCGAAGCTCGGTGAAATTTTCTTATTGGAAAGTCGTAATTCTTATAGTGTCATGGTACAGCGATTTGAGGGTTGATGACAGGTCACATGGAATGTGTCTTACGGTGCTCCGAGGACATCCCCTTTAATCATATCTTGTCTTATTCTTTTTGTCGCGTCCTTCATTTCGGCTTATAAAAAACTCATACTTTACACGCGTACTACATTTGTGTGACTCGTGTTAGCTCATGATAAATCAATCATTCACACACTTAATAATCTGTTTTTTGTACCAACTGGACTTATCAAATAAAGTACAGAAATATTGGCTTTAAATAAAGGATCGTCTTGTATTGTTACATTGGAGTAAGAAAAATCCTACTCCTAAAAGGACTTCAACTGTTTTGTAATTAAAATTTATCATTGTCATCATTTTATTTTTATTTCACATTCATTCCATTCTTATATTACTGCACTATAATAAATATTAATTGGGTTTTAAAATTTATTTTATTTTACGAAGTACATTAACTATTATGATTAAACTTTGTGAAACTTTTTTTTTTATAAATTCTTTTTTTCCAATGTCACAAGCAAAGATGATCAGGTTTAATTATATGATCTGCTTTTCCACACATGTAGCCGACCAAAGTATGATATTTTTTTTAAATATTTCATATATTAGGGAAAGGTTAACAAATAATATACAAATATGTTATCCTGCAGTTTGGTAACGACCCGGAATTAATATGAGAAAAAACATAATAAAATCATTATTTTTAAAAACTGTATTGTCTATTTTCAGACAGAAGACATGCCATGGGGATGTAACCAATGCAACAGGCTCACTTGCACACTGCTTAATATAATATTAAGGTAAAGATTTTGCATAATCTAAAAATTCCAATCATGAATTTTATACACTTGCGTTTGAGTTCACTTTTGCCGCATCGCGCTTTCTTAAAAGTTGATTACAGAAATCAAAGTTCTTAAAATTCAATACACAATTATTGTTGTCAACATTATGTTATACAATGAAAAAATATCTTTAAAAAACAAATTTATTAGTAATTTATTCGTATCCGATGCAAATGTTACTTTAGGCTACCTACATATAAAAAAAGACAGACATCAAGGTAAATCGTCTATAATTTGCATTGTAATACTCATAAGATTGTTAATTAAAATTAATAAAACAGTACTGCAATGAAAGTATCAGGTTATTTTGGAAAGACATGCAAACATTAAAATTGTCGGAATTATAAACAAAATAATAGACACTGTACAATCTTTAACAAATTATAAAATTTATTAAATAAGTATATACATTAATAATACATTATTGAGCGATAGGATATTCTATCTGAATACTGTACATAGTAGTAATATTTGCTATAATACAATTGTCTGCTATAATCAAACTATCTTTGTACAAACTAAAATACTGTACATCAAGTGTAAATATCTGTATTGGTTAAATGACTTTGGTTCCACCATGCGTAAATTATTTAATTTCTTTAAATTTTATGTCAACAAACACCAAAAAGTTATATATCATTAAATAGAAACAATTTTATTTAAGCCCCATACCTTTTGTAACCTAAAAATAATATATTATTTCATTCGTGTGATTTGTTTTAGAATTGTCTTAACAATAAAAAATTAAAAGATTTAAAAATTTTGCTACCTCTTCGTATACGGTCCAAGCCATTGCAGTCACTAATGTCCTTCTCAACATTCGTGGAACAATGCCTTTAAAATATCCTAACATACCATATTTCTTATAAACCCTAAAAGCTGCATTCCGAACACCTTTAAATTCGTTAGGATATAATTGTATTTTTGTCTTAATTACATCAGCAGGTTGTGTTACAATAGAAGCAAATATTCCTGCTAAAATTCCGCAACTAAAATGAATCGGAGCTGACGATATGGAGCAGGGCAAATCTAAAAATAGATATATATGTTACAAAGATATAATCGTATCGCGGAGATATTTTATGCATTTTCAATTTCAATAAGAATTTACCTGTTTTAGAGATTACATTCTTTAACTGAGTATAAAATGTGAGATAAAGACCACTATATGGAGCGTCTCTTAGTAACGTTGGTATTAACCCGCTCGAAAGACCTCTTACTCCTTCCTGCTTGTAAATTAATTTCAGTGCTTGTCCTACACTCTTATATCTATACACATCACTCTATGAAAATGCAATCAACGTTAAATTTCGTAAATCCATACAATTTGTATTAAGTAGAATATTTTAGATTTATCAGTATCAATATTTTTACATCTAATTACCTAATTTTATTTTCTGTATATTTTCTATTCATATAGTGTAACATATATTGTATAAGGAATGTAAGTGTATTTATAATAACTGCACGTACCTCAAAACGTGTTTTCACTACTGTTATTGGAATTAATAGAGCTGCAGTCATAGACCTTGCTGTAATGCCTAATAACAGAGCTTCTGTAGGTGTAAGTGGATCTTTTAGATGCAATGTGTGCTTTAACCAGTGTAATGATGAAAAATATAATCCTACACCAGGCACAACTCTGGTAATGGACTGAAATTTTTTTTTTTTTTTAATGAACATAATCAAATTTAGTAATTGCTAAATTCTTACCGGAGTCATACCCCGCCATAGTCCGAACACATTTTCGTTTTTAATAATATGTATTACCGTTCCTAAAGTGCCGTTTCTTGGAGTACTAATATAAAAATCAGTCATAAGACAGCCATTGAAAGAAAAATTTTATATGAAACGATTAAAAAGGAGAATGATATTTTTCACTTACTCAAGATGAAGATTTACTCGACTTTGAAGTCTGGTTTTAACAAGATCCAATGGTTGAAATAAAATAGTTGAAAACGTGCCAGAGAGCGATCCAGCGAGAAAAGACTTCAAAACAGGATACTAAAACAAATACATATATGCGTCTCGATTTAAAAAATATATAAATTATACATTCTTTATTAAATATTTGAAATACTATACAAATGTATGTGTATTCGTTTTTAATTAAAAAAAATAATAATGTGAAAGATGCCTTATAATGGAATATGTAGATTAATATATCAATGATTGTCATTGTAATAAATATATGTCATTATCTTGCACGAGTTTGCTCACGTGAGTTATAAATTTCCTTTAAAAGGTCAATATAATTATCTGTAAGTGCAGTTCCTTGGGTTATCGGTCATTACGAGATAATTTCTTTTTTCTTTTATTATTTCCTAATTATTTGTCCTAAACATGGATTAATTCCAAAAATACGTATGTTAATGAATTATGACCATTTTTACAAAAGAAATTTAATATATTATGTTTAGATAATTTCAAGTGTAGTTATAACATTTCTAAATAAACATCATTATTATTATTATTTATATATTCTCGACATAATCTTGAGAATTCATTTTCAAAAATATAAAAGTACTTTATTAAAAACTAGAAAATATAAAATTTCATTTCAAATTGTCTTAAATTTTATCTAAGTTGTAAATGCATTTAATTGTATAATAGTCCAATTCTTGTAATAGTCGTAGAATAGATAATTTTTTATTTTCTTTTTCAGCTTATACTTGTAAATTTGGGACATCAAACTCGCAAACTCATAATGAAAATGAACACATGAGATACTAAATGGTGGATACTGCTCCACATAAATCATCTCCCATCCAGTACACCTCTTTTTCTAATTAGAGGTATTTTTT